ACTTGGCTGAAGTGCCAGAACTGAAAGATATTTCTTATGATGAGAAGAACTCCAAGCTGACCTCTTATCTGATCATTGCGTTGGTTTCTGTGTCCACTTTCTTTCTTACTTTCATTATCATTATCCTGGGTGTGAGATTTTGTCGGAGGAGAAAGCCCAGACTGTTGTTTGATGGAGCAGTAGCCATCCCAGGAGCTTATCTTCCTCCTAATTACGCAGATGTTGACGGCACAGGAACTTTACGCAGCACCTACAATTATGACGCCTACCTGACAACAGGATCTAGAACCAGTGACTTTAAATTTGTATCGTCTTACAATGACAACACGCTGCCTGCTGACCAGACCCTGAAGAAAAGTCCAACAGATTTTGCTGATGTGTTTGGAGTCTGTGATGATTCCCCAGAGGTATGAATCTATAGATCTTTTTGTATTTAGTAACAACTCATTTTATTTCATGAAACTCATTTTGTATTTATTATAAATGATTTTTACCATGTTTATGTACATGAAGGTATTTCAGAGCCCACATCATTTTCTTAATGTTCACATACAAAGTATATTTGACAAGTTCTTGGTCATGATTGAGTTTAATATTGATATTTGGATGTGACTTCTGAACATCCTTTTTTTGGTTTTCAGGTGGTTTCTTCTTCTTTGCTAGCTGTGATTTTGCACTCAATTCTTGCCCTTTTACTGCATTCTGATTTTCCAGTTTTATTCTTATGCTATTTTTCATGATTGGTTCCACTGCTTGTCTTTCTTTGGCTCCTTTCTTTCTCTGTCCTTGGTACTGAAATTCACCATAGAAAGAGTTTTGCATTGGAGTGGTCTAAAGAAGTTTGTTTTGAGGGCAATATTTGTTTTATACTAATTAGCTTTATTAGATCATTAATGCATATGTTATTTCCCGTATAGTTGTATCTTCAAAATAATTCTAACCTACTTTTTTCTTAAATAATTTCATTATTATTATTATTCATTTATTTTTCAGTTTCTGTTCACCTTTAACGTACCCTCCTCTCCTACGTCTCCAATTCTTTTTGCATTTGCTTTTGGCGTACTTGGCATTTTGCAACAATCTGAATACCATATTGATTGTAATTTTGCTTTTTTTATATAAGTATTTGTGGATTTTTGTCACACATTTCAGTTTTTACTGGGAAACTTTTAGTTTTGCTTCAGGTCTTTGAATATTCATCTTATCTTTAGAAAGACAACAATGATATAGCAGATTTCATCATTCATATTCTACAGAAATCATAATTGTGCTCACAGACAACTTCTTTAATAAATTTCTAAAACTTTTAAATCCTGGAAAATATTGTCTAAAAAATCATAATGTTGTAGAGCAGCCAGAAAATCAGCTACAGAATATTTTTATTTATTGACTTTTAGATGAGGCGGCTAAAGTTGGTTTGTTGCTCTAACTTTTGGTTCTTGTCCTGTCTTCTTGCTGTGTCAGGGATTAACAGGTTGCTGTTGCATATCGTGAAGAATGGATTGTGTTTTTTTCTGTAGTCTGGCTGATGTCCATTTTGTATGAGTCAATTTTCTCAGAGTTCATCAAACTCACACATATGTCTCTCTGGTTGTTGTGCATATATCTGTAAATACTGCCAGAAAATGTAAGACTGGAACCATCACTTACAAAGATCCCTCACTGTGAATTTCATGTTTTTCTGATTATTATTATGGTAACCCAATCTCAGCCTCATGTCTCATGTTATGGCTTGCTATTTTTTCGAAGCATTGCTTTTGATGATTGTAGTGTTATTTTTACTCATGAAGTTCTTAATATGTGACCGAGTTATGTTTTCTGTCAGTGAACAATTCATTTGTATATGGCTTATAATTAATTCATGTTATAAGCCAATGTATATATAATGCATTCATATATACATATTGTGAGCCAATATGGAAAAGTTCTATTACTCTACTTTTTAGAAAATTGTGGTACAGCTTCTTAAAAATTAACATTTTATATTACGAGGTTCATATGGACAAGCCTTTATTCATCAGGCATGTCTTCCTTAACGCAATCCAGTTTGTGTTTAACTGGAAGAGACGCATCTAAAAAAAATAAATAAATAAATAAATAAAAGCTAACATTTGTAAGTTTTATACCCTACAGACTTCAGTGAGTTACATGATAATAACTGTTAAGAAATATATAAAGCTGGCTTTTCTTTACATGGACTTCTTTACTTTTTTAATATTTAGTATTTTACTTGGTAAACATGCACATTTTTATTATTCCTCATTTATGAACTGGTTAACTGAAAACAACATACAAAGCATTTTGAGTTACATGCAATATCTGTTTAAAATCTCAGAAAATACTGGCCTTCTTTTGCAGTATGATTTGCCTATATTTAATGGATAATTTGTTGGGTTTTATGTTATAATAATACAGTATTTTGCTGGTGCTATTTTATGAATATGGTAAATACAAATCTACCATCCTGCATGAATTATATGGTAATATGTCTGTTTTAACTCTAGAAAAAAAAAATAAAGTTTCCTTTGCAGTACAGTTTCCCTTCACTAACTGGGTAACAAGTAGAATTTACTTTGTACTTATGCTGTACTTTACTGTTACTAGTTTTATGAACAGGTTAAACATACCTGTAAAATCCTTCATGATTTATATTGTAACACTTGTTTAAAATATATGACGTTAAAGCTTTATTCACGTGCAGAGTAAAGGGATATGTAAATGCATTGGGATTTAAGACTAAGCTTAATAAACTTGTCATGTTTATTAAAAGGAAAGTTGTTTAAAGTTTGAAAACAAAGCCATTTTGTCAGTTCGATTTTTTTCTGCATTGTTTAAAGGCAGTAATGTTGTTCCACTGAGCTCAAGATGTCGCCATATACCAGCCTAAAATAACATCATCCCTCTTTCCTTTGTTAACTTCCCGGATTTGCGCTTTAGAGCTGTTCTGCATGAAAGAGCAGACGTGATGAACTGACGCATTTCGTCGATTCATGTCATCCAGTCATATATAAGGAAATACTACATAAACTCATTCAGAACTAACATTTGAAAGCGGGTTTAACAATGGTAATCTTTCCGTGGCTGATTAGTTTCTCTTCTTTTCTTCTGCACGTCGCGCATGGAGAACAGAGTTATTCCGTACCAGAGGAGATGAAACGAGGATCAGTTATTGGAAATATCGCAAAGGATCTCGGGCTGGAGACAGGTGCGCTGTCCACCAGAAGAGCCCGCATTGACACCGAGGAGAGCGATAAACGTTACTGTGACATCAACGTGAGAAACGGAGCGCTGATTGTGGCGGAGAGGATTGACCGTGAGGGCCTTTGTGACAAAAAGGCTTCATGTATCCTAAAACAGGAGCTCGTTTTGGAGGATCCTCT